AAAGAGAAGGGAAGTTCAAGCTCGACTGGCTTTCCTTGGGAATAAAGGCAGAAACCAAAAGCTTATACTTTGTCCAGATGGGGACTGGTGTTCTCTCACTGATGTCACTCCTGGTCTGCCGTGATCCATAATTTGACTTCACATAAAAGAATTGCAGGAAGTAATGACCAAACTGTTTGTGTTTGTAGGGAACTTGCTGGCACAAATGATAATTAGTCAGTGCTGGGGGCTAAGTGCATAAAAACACATTTGCTCATTGGTCTATGTGTTTAAGCCAAGCACTATGTGCGCCTTTCCTTCCAACACTCTGACACACAAAGACCTGATGATGTTTTCATGATGTGTTTGAAGAGCATTCAGACAATCTGTTGGCAATTCCTCTCTTTATTATGACAACTACCCTCGGGACACTGAGAAAAACAAGCCTAAAATTTAACAGAAAACAAGCTGCTGTCACAGATAGGCAGCAAGGAGGAATGATGGTTGACAACAACAACACACTCTTTGTAGAGCCCAAAGGGTGTTTCTCCTCGAGAAGGTGGAGAAAGGATGGGACATTGTATGGGTTGAGGTCACCCTGCTCCATTTTTTAAGGATTTGCTAAGCCCTGCTCCTGCCCGTGTTCCCCGTGGAGCTGTTACAGCCCTGCCTGCCTGTGGGCTTGGCGCTCGCAGCCCCCCACACTCGGCTGCTGGGCTGAGTCAACTCCCAGCCCCAAATGGCTCCAGCTGCACATGCCAGCATTGAGGCTATCCTAATATTAAAAGCTCCCGTTTTTCAGGCACTGAGCTCATGGAGCCTTTGCAGTGGTAAAAATAACACTCCCGAGCAGCCAGGTATTTATCTGATCTGTTGTCCTTAGCTCCCCATAGCGTTCTTACAGAGACTCTTGGCATTTTCATTAGCACTGTATGAAAAACTTGTTTGTGTTAGGGCTGTGGTACGGACAGGGATATTTGCGCCAGAACCGCCCCTTGGAAAGGAATGAAAATGTCCATGCCACTCGCCCTGCACAAATTCAAAACAGAAGCAGGGGAGCTTATGCTGCAGTCCCAAAAGCACTCCCCTCTTTTTTATTTTGCTTGCTTTTAAAGAAGCACTGGCAGCTATGCAAGTAATCAGCACATACAGAAGTCACCTCCCCCTAAAAAATCCAGAATAAACAGTTTAGGCCAGGGGACCAATGCAGTGTTGAAAAGAACAAACTGTTCCTGCGATGCCACCACTGTTTGCTCCCAGCTGCCACATTACCAGGACTACTGGAACACGTGCTGTCCCCAGCCCTCTGTGGAGTCCCAGGCTTTGGGGCCAGATGATCTGTGAGACTTGTGCAGTCACCTGCCTTATTGCACAGAACAGCTCCGAACCCTCGTAAGGTATTGGGTGCAGAAGAACATGGCAGGGCACGGGGTTTGCTACCACACGACCTCCCAGCCCACCCTTAAACCTCTGGAGGAATTAGGCTGTGGCTTCATGACTGCTTCCAGCCAATCCTATCAGAAGCAGCTGCAGAAAGCTGTGTGAAACTACAGTTGTAGTCTTATACTATACCTCATCTAACAAGCCCCTGGGCCTCAGTGAGGCTTTTCAGACCACATGCAGCGCTGGGCTAAATGCAGGCTGAAGGGACCTCACACTTGGCCAGCCCATATGTCTCTGCAGCGTGATCCATCATTCCCACCCTGGCTCTCCAGGATGAAACCACAGGCAGCGATGAGTGGTCCTGCCATCCTTAGGGGGCTTGGCCCATCTCTAACTCCCTCAGCATTTTGTGCCATCATTCTGCAGCAAGGTTTTCTCCTCTCTCACACACAGGAAAGGATGTTCTTCCTTGCTCTAGGCTGCAATTATCAACAATACTGGCATTAAGTTCCTCTGAGTTCCTACCTCAGTTGTTTTGCCTAGAAAGCGTGACACTTTGCTACGTCACTAACTTATGCAAATAGGATGTGAAAACATGTACTCATTGTTGTGTTTATTCTTCCATGTCTTATGCCGAGAATACAGGATCAGAACTGATCCAGGTGTGCATGGCAGTGCACACTTCACAAAAGCCTAAAAGCTGTGAGAGCAGAAATCATGCCTAGGGCTGTTTTGTTGGCTCTGAAAATGCTCCTTCAATTTTCCTGCTACTGCTTTCTAGTTTTCAGGGATGGTGCATGCCAATACTGGATAAAGCAACCTAGAAACTCTCCAGAGCTGTGTTACTCAAGAGCAATCCATTTAAGTCTTTTCTCATGTACAAAAAGCAATAAAATATTGCTAGGACTCCATCTTCAATCTTTTAAAGCAGAAATGTTTCTAAGATGTACCTGTGAGAGCGACAGCAATACTATACCCATTTATGTGCAAAATGCATTAAACAAGAGCGTGAGAAAAAAATCTAATAGACTAGGTTTAACTCTGAGATTATTGCATGATAAAAAAGGTTTAAAAAAGTAGTTTAACTTTTAGTCATAACTACAGACACCACATTAGGATCCTGTATCTCCAGGCTTCGAAGGGGAAAGCTCTGCTAGCCTGGTCAGTTAGGTCCTGCCTAGCTTCCTTACCTTTCATCTCAGTGGGCTGGTCTATTGTCAGGCCAACAGAAGTAAAGATAGTATAAAGCTAACAAAACCAGCCATCCACTTTCAAATATGCAGAGTTAATTCTGTAGAGAATAATGATGTTATTTACTGTATAAAGGCTCTACATTGAGGTTTGGCAGTTTTTTGTACAATGTGGTGGTAGAGATCTACGCAGTCACTAGTCGGAACCAGTCACCATCACGCAGTGTTAGAAGTTGCTCTGGTGTTCACATCACTGGTCTGATCTACTTCACTTAAAACAAACCGCCTTTTTACATCCTTTAGAGCAAACACATTTCACACTTCACCCAACTCTCATGAGAAACTGCTGAAAGAATGAGAAGAGGATGAGATTGTAGAAAACTGAAGCGGTAAGGAGAAACTGAGGGTCCTTCTTGGCCGAGACGCAATTGTCAGAGAAGAGGTAACAAGGCTGAAGACGGGTAACTTTTTTTTTTTTTTTTTGCTGGTTACAGTAGTTTTTGCAACCACCAGTCTGTGCTTCTCAGAGCATGGGTGGAGTATGACATATGTGTTAGAGTACTGGGTAAAAAAGAGCAGTGAAAATAAAACAAACTCAGTCACTCTGCATAAGAAAGACCTAAATTAGTGTCCAGCTACTTTATAGCCTAGATTAGTGACAACACAATTATGAGACTTTGTACATTCTTAATGCAAGTGGATTAATTCTTTTGATTATTCCTACATTTTATCCAACCACAGCAAACTGTAAGCCAGCAGCATGGATGCAGCAATCCTGGCACCAAACCGCAGAGCAGATGGCTATCTGTACCACTTTGGCCATCCACTCTGCTATACACAGGGCTCGCATTATCTGTTTCCCTAAAACCTCAGAAATAACAAAAGTTCTAAATTTTTAGATTTGACACTCAAGAAATTACACCTCTTTAGAGTAATCTGTACACTCAATAACAGCGTTGAACAGTTCTCAAACATTGTAAATTATTGTGTTTCTTCCCTCAATGAATATTTAGCACTGAAATCTGCATGCAATTCCCAACTGATTTCTTAACAATCACTTTTCACAATGAAACGTCTCATACTGCGATCCAGAATAACACAGAATAACACTGTGTCTTACTCATTCACTGGCACTGTTTCATTTTTAAACTATAAAATTCTCCTTTACAAAATGCCTCTTTTTTTGCTGGAGTTAAGTAGTCTACCTCAACTCTTTTTTTATACTAAAATGTTGGCTATATTTATGTTGGCTCTCATGGACTCTCACATAAGAAACTGAAGAAACTGTGGGAGTGAGATGGAAATATTATATGCAACATATAAAGAAATATAAATATTCCTTTTCTTGGTCAAAAGAAAAGTAGTTATTGCATCATGCTTTGAGGAAAGCTCTGGAGTTCCTCTGACACAAATAAGAACTAGGTACCACCCCACTGCAACTATTACTACTGAATATTTCTGATGTATGTGTAGCTTGGGGACCATAGGAAAAATCCCTGGCTAGGCTCAGGTCTGTAGTGAATCACATGGATCTAATTTGCTTTAGCATTGCAAGAAGTGGCTTTTCCCCCCATAAAAATTGAGTGAAAAGAAATTGCTGAAACTTGTGGCTAACATTTTCAGGCTTGAATGTACTTTATTACAGATGGACTATAAATCCCTTCGGTTGCTGGCAGCACACACATTCTTTAAATGCAGTGATACTGCACAGAGATCAGCTTCTCACCATGCAAATACTTACAGAAAAAGGAGAATTCCTGTGTTGGCCAAGGCAAAAGCGAGACCCAAAATCCCGCTGCCCATAATCGCGTTACTGAGGTTGAAGACAGACATCCCCAGCGAAGTAGTTCCTGGGATCTGGAGAAGTAAAGAAAGGCAGCTTGGAACAGAGCAGGGAAACACATCTATGCTTCAAACTCCACATTTTGCAGTAACTCTGATATAAGTAACTGCTGCTATGGAAATGGCTTGATAAAAATTGGTTTGAAAGAGGAAAAAGTGTCACTGAACCCTGTCACAGCTACACTGTGATAGCTGTCCTGTAGATTTTGTAAACTGAAGCAAATGGTATATATATACAACCCACAACTCATACTACACATTTAAACTCCATCTTTCACTACACCTGTGAAACATCTTAAGCACATGATGTGCATACTGTAAAGCCATAAAGAACCATCAGGAGTTCCTGCCTAACACAGGCCAGAGGGATTCCCTTGCCTCAACTCCTCAGTTAGACCAAAATGCTTGAGGTTTTTGGGTTGTTTGGGGTTTTTTTTTTGTTTTTTTAAAGTGCTGAGCACAGGCAGTTCCTACTGGAACCATAATTTCACTTATTGTGTGTGCCCAGCACTTTTGAAAATCATGTCTAAAGGCCCTTCACATACACAACATATAGTTCATTTCAACAGGGAAAGGAAGAACAAAAGATACTTACATATTCGTCGCATTTCTTCTTCTCTAGGTGGCTGTTTGTAAGACTTCTTCTGCTTTCTCGGTCAGAAATAAACTTGCTGAAAGAAGCCAGAGGATTTATTTCCAGCAAGTGTTTAGAAAATGTGAACACATTAATGCCGTGTGATTATGAAATACACAACATATAAAAACTGTATGTGAAAAGAGGTCAAACTCATAACTATTTAATGAGACAGATTAAGCTTCAGTGATATGGGTGCTCATTGGCATCAATAAAGGTAACACCAGCACAAGATCAGAAGAAATGGATATATACAGAGTGGTCTCTTAGGAGATTTAGTAAAGCAGCAGCACTGATTTTGTGAATGGGAAAGCAATTTGTTTACAGAGACACTAAGAGGAGATACTTTTCCAAGTGTCCTGCAGAGGTGGTGTGACCAGTACCCCTGCTCCTGCCTGTGGTCAGCACAACTAACACCATTTTATAAGGCAAACACACGTTCATGTATTTATTCCCTTTCCCCTCATTATCAGGCCCTGAATCAAGCAGACAAACCAAAAAAATTTCTTCTTCCCCTCTCTACTGGCCTCAAGATTCCTGGGCACCAGCCCCGTCACCCTGGCCAGCCTTGAAGGTCCCTGGCTCTCAGCTCATGAGATGGTGGTGATGACTGCCTCACAGAAGAGGGAAGTGTAACAGCACCCAGAGCACTTTCTGCAAAATCAAGGAATTACAAGTCCTGTGTGGGGCACTTGGACCAGAGCTGCTGCTGGACAGTGATGTCCCGGACCTTCTGGTGCCCCCTCCCCATCCTCTGCTTTTTCCAAGGATGAAGGGACTGACTTGTATTCATAGAATCATAGAATGGCTTAGGTTGGAAGGGATCTTAGAGATCATCTAATCCAAACCCCCTGCCATGGGCAGGGATGCCTCTCAACTAGACCAGGTTGCTCAAGGCCTCATCCAACCTGGCCTTGAACACCTCCAGGGAG